GACGTGTGCTCTTCCGATCTTATAAGACCTTATTTATAATTTTTTAATCGGTTACTATATCACTACGCACGCAATATATAGTAATCGTCATTATATCATTGATCGTCAATCTTTTCAGCAATAATAACAATTCGTAAAATTGATTGGCAATGTCTGTGTATCCGTTCACAGAGGCGCAGTGTTGGTAATGGGTGCTGTCACGCTAAACGTCTGGGCGAGCGCGCTCCTGTACCACCCGGTAGAATGGCACCTGGTGCCGGCTCGGCCTCCGGACGATAGCGACGCGCACGATAATGGGGAGACCATGTCGGTGACTGTCACCAGCACCCCTGAGCAAGCGACGGACAACAAGGGCAACAGCCAGCTGGCGTCACTGAGTAATTCGACGAACGAAAAGGCCGCGCCGATCGTGCCGAAGAGCGCGTCGAGCGTCGCCTTGGAATATTACAAGAACACGCCGGTGCAGGGTCGCACGCGAAAGATCAGCATGCCCACGGGACGTGAGATCAGCGGTCAGATGCACAGCACGCCGACGTTGCACGCCGTGCCGGAGCGCGGCGGTGCCATGGTCGAGTCCGGCAAGTATCCGAGAGCGGCGAGGTCACCGCTGCACTCGCCCAGCACGTCGTCTTTCAACTACGTCAGCACGCCGTACCACGGCAGCACGCTGTCGGTTCTGCACGCGGAACGCGCGTCCACGTTGACGCTGAACGCCATCTCCAGCACGTTCACGAGAAAGTCGACGACGAGGGAGAAGAAGAAGCAGCGCGTGCACGACGAGAAGGATCAGCAGAACAAATTCTTCGATTTCAGCTTGCTCAAGGATCCCATCTACCTCGTCATCCTCATCTCCAACTCCACGAACGCCATCAGCTACACCAATTTCGTCATCCTCCTGCCGGCCTACGCCATTTCGCTGGGTTTCAACAATTGGGACTCGTCGCTGTTGCTGTCGATCGTCTCCATGCTCGATCTGGTAGGCCGTATCGGCGGCTCCGCTCTCTCGGACATCAGGATCATGCCCAAGCATTGGTACTTCATCGGCGGTCTGCTCGCCTCCGGCATCTCTCTGGCCATCCTGCCCACCTCCGACACGTACGTCATACTGTCCGTTTACTGCGCCTTCTTCGGCCTCGCGTCCGGCATCTACGTCGGCATCACCGCCGTCATTATGGCCGATATGCTGGGCACGGAGAAGCTCACCTCGTCCTACGGCATCTCGTTGTTCGTCAACGGTGTCATCCAGTTGGTGGGTCCGCCGATTTGCGGCATAGTGTACGAGCAGATCGGCAGCTACGGGCCAATCTTCAGTATACTTGGCATCATTCTGGTGTTCGGCGCGTCTCTCTGGATCATAGTGCCGTTCATCCGAAAGAGGCAGGCAGCGTTGGAAAGCCCGCCAGTATAGACAAAGTATAATAGACCAAAT